CCCACGAATTCATTAAGCCATAATTAGCCGTGATCACTGATGATGTAGAATATAGTGATCCAGGAGAAGTTATATTGAGCTTTGGACGCACTTTTGGGTCTGCCCTCTGGTTCGTTTTATAGCTTTTTGTTTTAAAATAGTCCTTTCATTCATCTGGTGGCTGCCGTTTCTCTACCTAGCCCTTCCTGCAAGCAGGGTCACAGTGTTACCTGTGCTGGTTGTGGCCCTGTCCCGGGGACTTCTGGGAGAGTACCGCCCACCTCGGAGCACGCCAGTTAGGAGTGCCCAGGCGTTCCCGTAAAGAAGCCTGGCTTCGTCTGTCACCATGGAGAGACACTGAAGCACTCTTCAAAGGGGTGCTGCTTCAGCACACCCAGGGTCCCCCAGAAGGGGTTCTCTCGCCATTCTGTCAGCTGATGAAGTCAAGGGAATTAACTTCGACCAGCGGCCTAAACTTGGGACTTTCGTAGTTACCAGATGAAAGGCGCAGAGCAGTGGCACTGAGATCTAAGCTCAGGTTCCTTTGCTGTGAGAGCCTATCCCCCCCCCCACCCCCATAGTGACTGTACCAGCTTAGCCATCCTCAAGCCATCACGTCAGCTCTTTGGGGGGCCACAGAGAGATGGTCGTCTAGTTTCCGTTTCCGTAAACGAAGCCCAGGTTTGAGTTCCAGACACCTGAGGCAGGGCGTGGAGCACCCGGGAGTCTTCCCTGCCTCTTGCATCTTATCTTGGTCTCTCCAGAGAAGTGCCTCGAAGTGTGTCATGTGCCCTTATTGTTTGTATTTGTGTCGTGGCCACTGGAACTTGGTTAGTACATGTCTCCTTGCCACACGCTGGGCTTTACTGTGGCTCTTCCAGGTGCGGCTTGGTCCGTGTTGATAGGAACCTTCTGTTCTCTATCGGTGGGCTTATCTCTTGGTTGGGCTCTTGTTGATAAGATATTAATATCACTGGATTTAAGAAAAATCTATTTAGCTAAATAAGTATTTTGGAGGCTAATTGTATGAGGTTCTAGATTGGGGTACCAAGTTGTTGGAAGCACACAGGATGTGGAGTCAGGTTTTGGTTTCCGTCTTAGGTCTTCCATTCACTAGTTCTGTGTCTTTGAGACAATTACTTGGTATCTCAGCCTGTGAAGTTTCCAGAACTCCATCGCTGTTGATTTTCTCTCCTTATGACAAAAATGAGTGTTATATGAATGGATATGAATTTCCTCGACTTTATCAGACCACACAAGTCTATCTAGATTTTCCGGGTGGGGGAGCTAACCCACTTTCCTCGGGGGGTGGGGGGGACCACTCCCAGCTGCTGATGGGTGTGGCCTTCGCAGCCCATCACTTCCACTATCCGTCCGGGTCGCCTTCGCCAGTCCCAGTGAGAAGCAGCAGCAAACAGCCGTTATAAATCACTGTTGCTCTCCAACAAAATTTCAAACTAAAGTATCTCTTTTAAACCACGTGTTTGCTCATCTTAAAGAGTTGGATTATAAACTGCCGGAAGCCAGGGACCACTAACCACCCATTCTCACTGGCAGTGGATTCAGAGTGTAATTATCTTTGAGTCTGGAGAGGATGTGCTGATGGGTGCCAAGAAGGGGCAACCCAAACCATGGGCAGGCGCCTTCTCTGCTTGCCCAGCCATCCTGAGACGGCCCTTCTCCCAAACCTGCAGCATGTGGCCCAGGCACTGTGCCTCTGGGGTTCAGGCGTATCTGGCCTGCGAGCGGTCTGTTTGTAGGAGGGACAATGGAGACTCTTCCTTCTAGGGAAGGGAGTACCAGGCCTCACAATCTCAGCCAGAAATGGAAAGGGAAGAGTGATTTCAAGGATTGGATAGACTTGGTTTCCTTGGTGGTTCACATTCTAAAGTCTGGGCAGGAGCAGGGGATGGGCAGGGAGGAGCTGTGGGAAGGTTGCGGGTGATTAGGGCCAATTGGTAAAAACAGAAATGGTGGCCTCACTTTAAAAACACCTTAAGACTTTAGAGCAAAGTAAATGGCTTTGGCACCACTGGGAAAGCTGCTATCTTACAGAGGCCTGGATGGAGAAACATCCCCCACTGTGCGCAGAGCACAGCTGAATTTGGACGCCTCGGCTGCCAGCAGGAGTGCCTGTGGGGCGGAGGTGCCCAGCAAAGGTGGCAGCCGTCACTCACAGATGTGGCTCTTCAGCAGGCAGCCCAGGAAACAGGGAGGCCCCTTGCCATAGTTTAGCTGGCAACAACCACCTTATTACCTGGTGTCGCGGAGGTGCTAGAATACAAAAAAAGAAAAAAGAAAAAAAGGGGGGGGTTGTGCACGTGGCCCACCCAGGTCTTTTCTGTGTGCTCACCTATCTGTGTGCCCCAGGACTTCCAGAAACCATCAGAGAGAACCCACCGGGGCTTTGGGGGTGGTACAGATGGTGGTTACTAGCATGCGTGCTCCTGCTGGCCCCAGCTCAGCTCTACAAACCAGAGCTCGCCAGGAAGTGGGTGTGCAGTCGGTCACTCAGCTCTCAATTTAGAAAAGGCAACCGCGCAGGGGAAAGAGCGGAGTGCTCTTGGGAGGTGCCGGGAGAAGAGAGAAAAAGTGCGATGAGGAAAAATACTTGCTGCGTCATGTGATCACTTGGTTGCAAATGTTTTCTTTTTTCCAGCCTTATTGAGGTATAGTTACCACATAAAATTGTAAGATATTTAAAGAGCACAACGTGATGATTTGATAAACATATACATTGTGAAAGGAATTCCCACACTGTGTTAATGCATCTAATACATCACATATTTACCTTTTTATTTTTAACTAGAGGCCCAGTGCACGAAATTCATGCACAGGTAGGGTCCCTAGGCCTGGTTGGAAATCAGGGCTGATTTATGGGGCAACCAGTGGGTCAATAGGGAGGGGCAGGGGGCCCTGCTGGCACCCGCCTTGGCTGGCCTAGGGCCTGCGGGCTGGGGGCAGCTCCTGCATTGAGCGTCTGCCCCCTGATGGTCAGTGCTCGTCATAGCAACCGGTCCACCAGTCGTTCCACCATTTGGTTGATTTGCATATTAGGCTTTTATTATATAGGATATTTTGGTGAGAACATTTAAGTTTTACTCTCGTAGCAAATTTCAATTATACGATACAGTGTTATCACTATAGCCACCATGCTAGACATTAGATCTTACACCTTATTAATCTTACAGCTGGTAGTTTGTACACTTTTACCAACCTCTGCTCTCCACCTCCTAGCCCCAGACAACCACTTTTCACTTTTCTACTCTGTTTTTCTGACTTTGACTTTTTTGGGGCGGGGGGTTTCACATATTCCTGGTATTTGTCTTTCTCTGCCTAGCTTATTTCACTTAGCACAGTGCCCTCCAAGGTCATTTATGTTGGCACAAACGACAAGATTTCTTTAAGTAGAATTTAAGGCAATCATGCTATCAGTATTTCTCAGCTGTGAGTAACGTACAGAACACTCTCAATGACTGAATCAGGTCTCAAGTACATGTGATTATATTTCTAGATAACCACAAAGCAACAAATTTACAACTAAGTCCTTAAAAATCTCCATATAAAAGAATTTCAATTAATGATATTAATTAATGGGATGAAAGACTTTGTTTTGCTTGAGTTAAAATCATGGCACAGGGTAAAAATAGTGTCGTTGGGACCACACACAGATGTTTGGGTTCAGCAAGCCTCCCCTGCATGTGCTTGGGGTGGCTCCCATCTGCCCCCACTCTTAGCCATCTAACTGCTGAAAGCAGTATCGTCCTATAGCCAGCCCATCCTTAACTGGTTTACACCCAGGAGACACCTTTCATTGGCACCTGCCGGGGAGAAGCTGCAACCCCGGGTCCACCTGCCTGCCCTTCAGGCCCCTGAAAGTTATTCAGGAGATAGACGGCACCGAGAGGCACTTACCCGCGAAAGCCCGGCTCCTGCAAACGAGTGGTGGGTTAGTGTTTCCCAGTGAACTCGCCTGGCGTTCTAAAGTCACATTCAGAGTGAAACCCTTTGAGACTCAAGGAAAAGCATCTGCTTGTAAAATCTTCCCACTTTGCCTTGCGTATTGGGCTTGGGAAGGGGGGAAGAGCTCATGCAAAATTCAGCTCTGAGGCTCTGATTCAGGAGGGTGTGCTGTAAACTCCTCGCCTGCGGCGTGCCGTGTGCAGGGTTTGCCAGGAATCTCCCCACCTGCTCTCTCTGTGATCTGAAGGTACTCAGAGCAGAACAGGCTATTCTCATCCAAGCCCTCCCCTTTTAAGATGATGCACAGTCCAGTTTCAGGGGCAGGACGACTCCTTTTGCTCCTGCTCTCTGTCTCTTCCGAAAGATCAGAGCCGGTGTCGGGCTGGTTCCGAGTGCCTGGCTCTGAGCCGTGTGCCCGGAGCAGGCTGCCCGACTCTTTCATGTTCTGGCTTCACCTTTGGCTGTGGCGGTGCCCTGAGCCTCCAGAGACCTCGGGCTGCAGGGCCCGGCTGTGTGCCTCCCGGCCATCCTTGTTTGCCCTCGTTCTCTCTTTCTTCAAGTCTCCACCGAGTGCGGCTCTGTGAGAGAGGTGTCATCGCCAATCACGGCCGCCACCTCTGCTCACTCCTCCCAGGTTCTCTGCTGGGCATTTTCCTCCGCTCTTTGCTTTTCTCCTTCCTCACGCCTCTTCAGTGTTTCTCTTCTTTTGGCAAATGAGTTCCCTGTGTCACCTGCACCAGCCGGTCAGAACGGTCTTTCCGCTTTTCCCCCCAGTGGCTGACCGACGAGTCCTGACACGTCAGGGATGATTTGGGGTGTTCACCTCTTAGAACAGCACCAGAACTGGGCAGCGGTGGAAGTGACTGATTGAGCCCCAGGAGGCTCCGTAGCACCGGCCCTGGTAGGCACTGGTGTCCCCTGTTCTTCCATGGGCGACTGTCCTCTCTCTCCTCAAATTCAGACACGAAGTCACGGCACCTGCCCTGGAGCTGGGGCCCGACCCCCCACAACCTGTGTCATCTCCGAGACGCCTCATGGTTCTGTTCCTTTACACACAGGGCTCTCCTCCAGCAGCTGCAGAAGCTGCAGACTCTGGTGATGGGCAAGGTTTCTCGCACCTGCAAGTTGGCCGGCACGCAGACGGGCACCTGCCTCATGGTGAGTTTCCCGAAGGGACGCGCCCTAACCGCCCCGCCCTCTCCCCAGTCTCCATCTCTCCCCAGCCTGCCACGTCCAGGGGCTGTGGGGTCGGAGGAACCGCGCAGCTCGCTCCCGGTCCCTCTGCTGGCCGGTGGGGGGAGGCTTTCTCCCCGGGCCTCCCGGGGCTGCGGGTGGAAAGGTGTGCTCGGTGGGCCTTGGAGTCGACAGCTCCGTGTTGTCCCTCGCCTGCAGGTGGTTGTGCTCTGCTTTGCCGTAGCGTTCGGCAGCTTCTTCCAGGGCTATGGGCCCTATCCTTCCGCCACCAAGATGGCCCTGCCCAGCCAGCATTCCATGCCGGAGCCGTACACAGCCTCCGTGGGTAAGGCCGCACTCAGCACGCGGGGAGGGTCTCCGTTTCATTCCTCTGGAGCTTTCTGGAAGCTCACCTTTCTGAAGGGAGTCTTATGTGAACGTCTGATTTTAAAAACGTGATGAAAGTGTAGCTTCTCCATTGAAGGGAGGGAAGGGGCAGGGGAGGGGGTCATGCCCACTTGCTGGGTTCCCCCTTGTGCCCTTCCCCCCGGGGCTGAGGCACCACTGGGAATTCTCTACAACTCAGCTGAGCGTACTTCACAAACTACCGCTCACGACTATGTTCCCTGGCAAATTGTCAGCTGCCCCAGCCTGGGGGGATGTGCTGTGCCCTCGTGGTGTCTCCCTAACACCCGGTACTTTGCTTTTTCCTCAGTGAGATCCAGGAACCTGCTCATCTACGAGGAGCATTCTCCCTTGGAGGAGCCGTCCAGCCCTGCCTCGGCCGGGGAGCTTGGCCGCTGGGACAGAGGCTCCTCCCTGCTCAGGGCGTCGGGGCTGGAGTCCAGGCCGGACGTGGATCTTCCCCATTTCATTATCTCGAATGAGAGCAGCCTGGAGAAGTCAGTGCTGTGGGAGCTCCAGCAGCACCTGTGAGTCCGCGGACACAGACTGCTCTCCTCCGCTGCACTGGTCAGGGTCAGGGGTCAGCAGCCTGCACTGTGGGCGGAGACTCTCACAGGCCTAGTCAGTCCTGCTTTTTCAGGACCGATTTCCAGGCCCGGGGACTCTGGAAGGTGTACTATTTGCCAGTAGCTGCCCCTAGTAGAGATGGGAAAAGACCCCCCTGTCTGCTATGTCATTGGCAGCAATGGTTTCAGGATGTGGGGAAAGGGCTTGCCCCACTTCCTCACTCTCTCATCGTCCCCTCAAAGCCACATGAGTAAACACACAATCAGTCCCAGAAGGATGCCTGCCATGTAAATGCAGCCTAAGACACCTTCTCTAGCTTCCAGCTAACATATATGCTATGCTATATGTCAGTATGTAGTTTTATCATTTATATGTAAGTGAACATGCACGAGTTGTAATTACATATTTCTATTGAGGGCACCGTTCAAGAGACACTGTGCATGTTCGTGCTTCCGTATTGAAAGTAGCACATTTGGCTCCAGTTCTCCATGAGTTGTTGCCCTTAGTCACGGAGAAACGTCCCTTTGTAAACATAAAGGCTTATGTGGGTGCCAGGTGTTGTTGTGTGAGGGGAGGTGCCTGGGATGGCAGACGGCACAGGAGGGGGTCTACATGCACACTCCCGGTCCGGTCGTGTGGTGTGGTTGGGGATGGAGCTGAACGGCCTCTGCCCCGGGCCTCCCAGAAATGCCGCTATTCCAATGGAAGCGGGAGCGATTCCGTTTCTAATTCTTCAGCTCTCCCCCTCTAACGCTGCAGGAAGGTTCCTGATGACATATACCTTCACAGGTTTACATCACACCTGCATATTGAACATGTCGTGGCACTTAACCATTTTAAGCACTAAGCAAATATGATACATAAATCTCATTAATTACTTTAAGAGGTTATTATTATTCCACTATAGAGGAATTGTAGGGCTCTGGAGACTCAACTGCTTGAGTATTTGGTTCATGACACAAGTCGCCTCCCCTCTCAGCTCAGCTATCCAGGCCCCATTGAAATGTGCTTGTTTGGGATGTCTCCTGGGCACTGGACCTGCCTATTCCTCCTCCACGTGCCTAGGATTCTCCCGGCTGTTACACAATCTTATATAATAAAGAGCTAATATGCTAATTAGACCGGGTGGCAGAACAACCTTCCGAAATGACCAGTGGGCGGGGGTGGGGGGGTGGCGGGGGGGGCGCGGCCCACGGGGCTGTGAGGCAGCCAGGGCTGCAAGGGCCGAGTCCCTCGCACGAATTTCGTGCATCAGGCCTCTAGTTTAATAATAATGTAGTTATTTTCTGTTGTATATTTATTGGTATTTCCAGTTACTTATTTGGGGGCTCTAGGGAGTCTTTATTGGGATTATTTGCTATGGTAGAACAGGGATCAGCTTTATCCTTCTGTTTTGTCCTTCCCAGGGTCTAGCCATCCTCAGTCAATACAGTACTTTAAAGGGCCCTCAATAAATGCAGCTCTTTAAAGGAATGTACAACAGATCAGTCTGAAACCGCCATCTCTAGTCTCTGGGCTGGGGTATCTCCCCTTGGGTGGGGATGGGGGAAGGTGGTGAAGAGGACAGTGGCCAGGCTGGTAATGGGAGGCTTTGGGAACAGAGAGTTGCTGCTGGGTGGGAAGGAACAAGGGCACGCTTGGGCCAGCCCGCAACGTTGCAGTCAGGGAATGATCATGTCTCCAACCCAGCGTGGCTGAGACTGCTTTTCCCTCTCGATGCCTTCACAGGGCCGGTGCCAAACTGGAGGGGAACGAAACACTAAAAGTTGTCGAACTCGACAGGAGAGTGAACGCCACCTTCTGAGAGGTGGTCTCCACCGCCCTCTTTCTCTTGGCTCTGCTTTTACTTCCCCAAACCACCTTTGTTATAAGCTTTTCCCTTTTCCCACCCAACACGGATGAAGACATGGACGAGCAGTGGAACAGTCTTGGCTTTGGCTGGGAGGACAGCCTGCGATTTCCACCTGCGGTGAGAGCCCTCCCCCTGCAGCCCCCAGGCCCTCCCTGCAAAGGGAGCCCGATCTCTCCCTCCCTTTCGCTTCCTGCCTTAGGAAATTACGTTAGGGTCAGGCGCGGGACAAGTGGGTTTGTTTCTACCGATCGGGCTGCAAATCTACAGCCTGGCTCTCACCTGGGGGTGTGACCACCTCTTTGAAGAAGATGACTCTTATTCATTGGAGACCCCACGCTCTGGCCATAAAGAGCCCAGGATGCCTGTTGGGATCTGGCGAAGCAGTGACTGATGTCCCGCCTCCCTCAGCCTGGTCTCCGGTGTGTCCACCCCGTCAGCCCTGGAAGTGCCAGTGTGTCCAGTGAGCGCCCTGCCACTCTGCTCTGTCCAAGCCCTCCAGCCCTTGCCTGTGGTCCTCGCTCTGGACCAGGGCCCCTCACATTCTCAGGCCGCAAGTGCAATGCCTGAAGGAATCAGGCTTCTCTACTCCAGGCGAACCTGCCCGTCTTGTTGCTTGTAGGACTTCTCCATGACCTGTGTTCCCTCACCCATAGACCCGCCTCCTGGCTTCTCCTCCCCATGTGTAAATAGTATTTATTAGCTTGCGAGGCTTCCCGCCAGCAACCGCTGAAGAGATCCTCCCGCCAAGCCTGCCAGGTCTTGGGTTGGACTTGGGCGCTAGGAGGGCAGCCTAGGCTCTGGGATTCCCAGTCCTCCAGGCCCTGTTTCATTTCCTTTTCTTCTCTGTGTTCCTGGAGGCCTATCACTGTCGGTGGGAAATCCTTGTAAGCATGTTCTCCCTAAGAATGAACTCCGAGGAAAGATGGCTTAAGCTTGTGATCTGTGGCCAGGCGCGTTGTTGTCCTGTGCCCAGAACAGAGCGGGAAGGCCTGTCCCGACAACAGGCGTGTCGGACAACCTTGCTAGCATGTCTCTCCACACCTGCTCCTGGCCCTCCTCCGCAGCTCCCCCTACCCCCACTCTTACCCCCCTCTTCTGCCTCAACACAGGGGTTGGGCCTGAGGTCTGCCCCTGGGGTCGGAGCAGGTGACATTGTTATCTACAGTCTTACCTTTATAGTCAGGTTTGGCTACTCTGCAGCTCACCCAAAGAGACGTCACCCCCACAACCTACTTTATTATTATTTTTTTAATGATTAAAGTAACTTTTGTAGTTTTAAAAAAATCTCTCCTCTTTCATACAGATAAGACATGAAGTTGCCTTTTTATTGTATAATGTAGACAGTTTGCCTTAAGTGTTTTCCCCTAGCTTGTAAAGGAATTAGCTTACATTTTGTATTTTTTAGTAGAAGCTGAAGGGCCTTTAGCTTTAACTCCTCTCTCTCTCTCTCTCTCTCTCTCTCTCTCTCTCTCTCTCTCTCTCTTCCACATTGTCATTGGAACCTGTACTTAAGAGGATCAAGCCCACAGCAGGGCCTTTTCCCTATCCAGCACAGGATTTGGTGTCATTAACATTGGCCATCATATCTCATAAGCAGATCTGTTTGTCTGTCCAGGTACATCTGGGGCTCACTGTCAGGGACTCCTGTGTGTCCCTACTGTGATGGAGAGTGTTCCAGACCAGGAGATGGCCAAGTTCATCTTCTCCGCAGTGTGTGAACGCGGGGTCAGGACTGCAGTGGTCCTGGTGGCCCTGCCGGCCCTTCGCACAGTTCTCGCTGCCCTTTACACTGGCCAGGGAGGGCTGGGACCCTCTGGGCTGTGCCTCCGGCTCCAGCTTCTCTCTACTCCCTTCTCTTTTTTCCTTCTGCTCTGGATCCTCCGGGCCTGGCTGGTGTCTGGTAACCGTGGCCCACCACCTACCCATCCCTCTCTGTAAAATGTTGTGTAATGATCAGGCATAGGCAGCCTGGGGGGGCCCAAGAAGGGAAAAAGGATTAACTCAAATAGTATTTGGATGATGCGAAAGGAAAGGTTCATAGTTAAGGGCAGAAGTGTGAGAATGGCTCAGCCTACCCACCTGTTGCACCAGCACCAAATGGGGTTTTTAAGGCTCCTAAACCAGCCAGCATGGGGCACCTGCTTGTGTGAGTGAGGAGGGCGAGGGGAAGGGGCAGCACACTGGGAGCCTGTCCTCAGAGCCTCGAGGATTTCATTCTCTCCCTTGCCCACTCCCCCTTGACATCACTCTCTCCAGTGCATAGGTCATGTGTCATAGAGATGTAACTTGAAACCTATGTGATCAGATTAACCAATGTCACCCCAATAAATTTAATAAAAATAAATGCAAACAAATGGCTACACCCTCTGCCCAAACCTCTGTCCAGCAGGGCATTCTCTCTGAGAAACCATTCTTCCGATGAGAATCTGTCACTAGAGACGGGGGACATCAGCTGAGAGATCAAATGGCCACTTTAAGGGGTTCCCAGAACTAATATTGCAGTTGTGTTGAAAAACCTCTGCCCTCCACTCCCTGCTTTGGGGAGTAAAGGAGATGAACCACGCTTTTAGGAGGATGTAAGGGGGTCAGGAGACAAGAAGAGTTGGATAGTAGTACATGGGTCCTAGATAATTCATGGATGTGCGCACATTTCTGTCCCGGGGTAAGCCCCGTTGTTTCCCCCACAGAGTGGTCCGCAGACTGGTCAGCCCTGGTGAGCCCTGGCGATTTCAAATAGTGGCAAGTGCTGGCTTCCGAATTTCAGTTTTGGAAAACACGACACTCTTAGTGCAGCCATAAAGCACAGAGTAAATACCTTGCTGTACAGATGTTAATTCTATTTCTCATCATGCAAGCAGCTTTCCCGCTTCCCTTTCTTTGATTCCCCCATTGAAGGAGATTGTTACAGACGATCAGAGAACAAGTCCCAGTTTCCTGGATGAGACCCCAGTGACCCACACTCCCCAGCGTGGTTCTCGACTTGGCACTCAGAAACGGATACCGACAATGAAAGGCCTCGGTGCTGGTTTTGGGAAGGAATCCCCATGAAGTGTTGGGACCCGGGGCCTCATGCACATGCAGTGCACGTCTCACAACTGAACTGCGTTGTTCCTTCAGGGCATCAGGTGAAGTGAGGTTCGACCCCGGTGCAGGCACAATGAGATGACCCGTTGGTTTATACCAGTGGCTTTGATTTGGAGACTTGATTTGTGGATTGTAAAAGCAGCTTTTACATCAAGTTATTTACCAGCCAAGTATAAATACCACATTTTTAAATTCCTAAATCTCTCAGTGTAGCCTGGATGCCAAAAGAGGGCTGTTAATCTCATGTGCCCGTGGAATAGGAGTATTGATTGGTTCGTCTCTATTGAGGCAGTGAGTCGGAATCCAGAATTTTCCCCCCCAAGTGTTTTGTGATGAACTGTCAGCACTTCATGGCTCCTTCCTCCCATGTCCTCAGACCGAGCAAAACCATAAAGACCGGACCCGCCTCTCAGGGCCCGCTCCTCTGAACACACCTGTCCCGTGAGCGTGCATTTGAGCCCGCTGCACAAAGAGACACCCTGAGAGGAGATGGACCGTCCACGCTGGCCTTGCCGACATGGGGAGGCTGGAGATGGGGAGGCCTCCCCTGTCTGCCAGAGGCACTCACTTGGTTCTGTTGAGCCCAGTCTTTGAGAATCTCTATTAGACACCAGCATGCCTGCTTGCAGGGCCTGCAGACAGTGGGACCGTTAGCAGGTGGTGCCCCAGTGACAGGCATTTTATTTGAATGCTTTTCAGTGGAGACAATTAGGAAACATATGATAGGATTCCCCCCCCCCCCCCGCACCCCCGCCTGCTGCTCACGAGGGCAGTATAGGAGAGAGCAGGGGGCTGTGAAATGAGGGCAGTGAAGGAGCCAGAGACAGATTTTTCATTCATTCATTCATTCATTCATTCATTCATTCATCATTCCTTCCCTCCTGAGGAACAGAGCTGCATGAGGCCCTGGGGAGTGAGGGAGGCTAGGAAAGATCATTAATCAGTACCTATTCAAACACACAAGTGCTAGAATTCTCTCTCTCTCTCTCTCTCTCTCATTCCTTCCTTGTCTTAATACACTTGATTGTGCCTTACATGTGCCTTATAGATGAGCCCAGGATTCCTGAGGGCTCTCATCCTTGGGAGACTTTATTTATAGCCTTGTAGTGTTAGATTGAAGTGTGTGGGGGGAGAAATAACTTTTTCTAAAGGCTCAAAAATGGTTTCCTAAAAGTGAGCAATAATAAGATTTGTACATCAGGAGAAAAGAGGCAGAGTTATGTCCATTAGAAAATCCCATTTTGTAGAGGTGCAATTATATCTAAAAATGGCCAGCTGGGATTAAAGGTATTATAAATCCACAGAGCAGGACATTTTCTCGATGCGAAGGAACCTGGCCCATTTGGGGATTAATGCACGATGCCTCCGAGGCCAGAGGGTCGGCACTGAGCGCAGGCAGAATCCACGTGTTGTCTCCTTTGGTCATTTTGGGCGGCCTAGACTTCAGGAATGCTTTCTTTTCTCTTGGATTCGAGAAGGAAGGGAAAAAATATTTCTTGAGCACTTATTAAGTGCTGGGTGCTATGCTAAATAAGCTTTAAGTCTTTTCATTTTATAGACAGAGAAACCAAGGGCAACTGCTTACTCTGAGCTGGATAAACAGCTGAGGGGTATTGGAAATGCAACAGTATGAGCAGATTCCGTGGTGTGAACACACTGTAAACGTGCAAGTTCTCTGGGCAGGACGCACAGCGCTGCTCGCTGCACGGGCCCGCTGAGCAAGTCCAGTTCCTTGCCTCATGCTGGCGCTGCCCTCCAGGTGGTCCTCGCCTGTTCTTTTCATCCAATCTTCTGCGAGTTCCAGCGCACGAGCTTGACATCCTAAAAACAAATAAAACGGGTTTCTCTGCTCCTGTCCTTTGTTCATCAGCTGGGAGAGAACATGAACTTTGAGCACCATGGACCTACAATGCTTAGAGAATATCTCTTTCAGGTAAAACGCTTTATGAGTCTGTGGAAGACACCAGCATTCTGACAAATTGTGAGTGACCCTTTTTAAACAACACTGAGCAGACCCTGAACTGTATAGCTTTAATGTCTGTACTGACAGCTGGGCTTGCCTCTCGTTTGTAACAGGTTGTGTAGACCAGCGGTGTTTAAGTCTAAAGACATTGCAAGTCTATTATCTGTTGTATCGTGCTGTTCTTTTCAATGACTTTTTATTCTTTATCATAGCTAAGCAAATACCAAAAATATAAATGCTTTGTAACTTGTACTTAGTTTGGGGGGAAAAAAACACGAATTGAAATTGTTATGCTTTTGTATTTCCATTTCTTGCAAATAAAAATATTTTTTTTTCTTAAATAGTAAATTGTTGTCCAGTCTCTAAAACCCCGGTAATCTGGTTTTAAGAGCAATTATTTGGATGAGCGTGGACTTGGATATGTGTGCCTACCCATATTTTTCTGCTGATCTAGTTGAGCTGAAAGAAGCCTGGAACCAGCATTTTGAATGGGGTCTAGTGCTAAATCCAAGGCTCGGTTGGAGGCATATGGAGAAACGCAATTGTTTTCTCAGCCAGCCACAGGAAGAAAAACAGGATTCTCTAGAGATGTCTAGCCTGAGTGCTATTTCCGTTATCTCCTGTTAGCTAGTCCCTCACCAGATTTCAGAACTCTGTGCATCGGAATACGCTTTCCCGGTTCAGATACTTGAGAACGAGGGCATGGACTGGAGCCAGAAGAGAAGGGCCCTTCATCACAGGAACTTGAAGAGGGTGCCTGCCACAGATTCATGCTGCAGGAATTCTGATGAGATGGTTGGTAAAGGTCAGAGCACTCAAGCAAAATCATCTTCTCCCACTGCAATCTGTGCATTCAGGTTTACTCTTCTCCACGCAGAGCGAGTGGGGCTTCATCTAGCCTCAGGAAGAGCACCCAGCATGTTAGAAACCAAAGCCATGGGCCGCGTTTACCTGGAAACAACAGAAAAACCAACAACATTTTTTTGATTCTTAGCAGCATGCCTAAGCCTGCTTTGGGCTCCGGGTGCATTAGTTTCCTCGCTGCCTTTCCCCTCTGAACACTTTGACCTTCTCTTCTTCTGTTCCTACACAGGGGCTTTTTCCTGCGGAGGCGTTCGTAAGACATCCATCTCATTCTTTCCTACATTGGGAGCCCATTATGGAAGCCTCCCCCTTGTTGTGCTGATATCTATCCAGTGATGTGTGGCGGGGGCAAATACTGCCAAATACTCCTTCTGTATTAGTCATGCCTTTATATTTTCTGCATTTCTGTTGCTTTGGCATCTGGGGCCTTGCTGATCCAAGAAGGACTGCCCCTCTAGCCAGTTCCTAGAGAGAGTAAAGGACTTGCCTTTCATATGCAAACCAACCAATCCAGGGCCCCCACCCAGCCCCCTCCTCTAAGCTCTTACAGGGGCCACTATCCTTCTGTCCTAATCACCCAGGGTCGGGTACCAGACAACCAGAGGCAGTCCCTATGCCCCAGAACCCACTGCAATTTTCCCAAGCAGCCCATCCTAAACCTGCTTACCTCACCTCCCTTTCCTGGGCGCCCCTACGTGGTGTAGCCTGCTCCCTCCTCTTGCGAACTGTGAGTAACAAACTATTTTTTTCAAAGGCAATTGTCTCTTGATCTGTTGGCCTCACCATATCTGAATAATAATAAAACCTACACTTTAAAACACATTCCTTAGGCATTGAATGCCAAATCAGAGGCTGATTCCCAGACTCCTGGGTATTTGGGGTTTCATGGATGGGCCCACTAGGATTTAGGGGAACATGATGCAGATTTATTGTCTCCTTCCACACTGGCTGCCACTTTTGTTCCAGAGAAGAAATTGAGATTTATAGAGGGCGAGGGGGCTTGTTCATGGGGAAAAAGGTGAATTTGAAGGGAAATGTCTTAAGTTCTAGTCCTGTGCTCAGGTTCCAGGGTACATTAGACCTTGTGCCTCTGAAAATAACAGAGATAACAAGGAAACACTGGGGTACAGTGAGGACGAGAACCCAGCCAGAGCCAGGCTTATGGGTTCTTGAGTTATACCATGAACTTGTTAGCTTGAGAAAAAGGAGATACTTATTGCCTATTACGTACCATGTGATTTTCATGTATGATCTTGTTTATTTCCTCCAAGATCTTTATGGAGGGTATATAGTTACCTCCTTTCACAGTTGAGGAAACTGGAGTTCAGACAGAGCAAGAAACTTACTTAAGATCACATACAGCAAATGACAGATGAGAGAGTTGGACCCTGGTCCTCACTCCAGGCCTATGATCTTTGAACTACACTATGCCGTTTTTAGGGCGTGAGGATCTTTACTTGTAAACATACAGAGTTAGTCCAGATCAGTTTCCAAACCCTTAGCTCAGGCACAAGTGTTTCTGATTTGGTCCCAACGTCTTTCAAACAGTTAAAAATAATTGGATAACCTTCCAACATTTCAAAGATTTCTCATAAAACTCCAGATTTCCATCTCCTCTCCAAAGACTGGAAGACCCAGCAAGTTCAGGAGCTGAGTAATGGTAGCCCCTCAGATGGTGCAGGTCATCTGTGGGTGGCCATGTTTTCCCATTTATGTCACTTACCTGGTCTTTCTGTCATCTGAATGGGTGGCTTCAAGGTTAGATGGTGGCTGGCTTTCTGAGATTCACAAGAAATGGAATAAGTGAAAAAGACTGTATTAGTTATGGGACTAGGATGTGGGGAGGGTGGTTAGTTTCATGCCCAGGGACAGGAAATGAGAGGCCTGAGTAGGAAGGGCTGGGCTGTGATCAGTGGAGGAGTCTGCACACTCCCTTCTTTGTAACACACACACACACACACACACACACACACACACACACACACACTGCAATCTTGGTTCTGTTCTTCTTAGTTCCAGAGGTAAACCTTCAGTAATCTCAAAAATCATGTTAAAAATCTTCTTAATGATCCCATTTGTATAAGACCTTGTACTTTACATAAAGCTCTTTCACATGTCACACAACGCACTTGCTGATTATTCGTGCGGAAGGTGTGGCAACTGTTACTGTCCCTGTTGCTCTGCTGTGGGAATGGGGGCAGTAGAGGCGTGAGCAGCTCTGCACTAGCTGCACGGTGAGTGAGTGCGGAGTAGAAACTTGAACCAGCTGTCCTGATTTCCTTCCTAGTACCATTTCCATGAGCTGTGCCTCATCTGGGTAGGTGACAGCCATGACCCCTCCAATAAATGGGATTGCTTTACAAGATGCCACTGCCATACTCTTTCTCCTAGAATGATCAGGATTGAGTTTTACCCAGAATGTAGGGCACTCCCAAAGGCCCCTATCTATTCAGAGAGGGAAAAAGAAGGAAGATGGCTCATCTCAGTCATTTCCTGCAAAATAATCCAAGTCGCCATTGAAGAGGCTAATTGCACTTGATCCCTTATGATTTGATGAGCCCGGGCACAAGTTGATGTTGACTTCCAATGGGCACAGCTGTTGCTAGATCTTTTGGCAATTTCAAAGAAGAGTTCTGGCCCCAGGAGGAGCCCATGTGTTCTCTTCCTCCCTCTCTGCTGCTGTTTTTAGATGGAGGAGCAAAAATAACCATTGAGGAATACCACGGAAGCTGCCAGAGAGGCTGTTGTGCTGTTCTCCAAGAAGTCTGTTTCAAAATGTTTAATGTTTCTTAAGTGAAGGGTATTTGGGAATCGGGACTGCCAGGGTGTTCATAACTAATGTCCTCCCCAGTATTACTGCAAAACAGATGGCAAGTTCAGTTCGCTGATGAGTGCCTGAGAGATTCCATGTGCCTGGGCTGGTTCAAAGAAAAATATCCCCCAATAGAAAAAAATGAAAACATAAAACCACCTACATATTTAGACACCACCAGACAGAAATGGTGCCCTCAATCCCCAAAATGTTTTCTTTCTTGGCTTAGTTATCATTTAAATGCTTTCGGTGGCTGCTGCAGCTTTTTATCATGGTTTGAGGTAAATGAATGCAGAAAAGAAAATACAGTTGAAATAGTATTTGCAATACTACACACACAATTCTATGCAATCCTCCCCCCCAGGGGTAGTACTTGACGGGGGATATGAGTTGAACTAGGAGGGGTGCTAGAAGGATCGCTCTCTGTGTAGAGTTAGATAGAATGACAGATGAGGGATTGTGTTAGGGTTCCCAAAGGACAATATATGAATATCTGGGCCATTCCGTTTCTCATGAGGATATTTCAGTGTCCTGAATAGGGCATGTCACTGTGGGCAGGTGTTTTGGAATCAGGCTGGGGACTGGTGCCAGGGAGAGTCTAATCACTCAGTGTGTAGTTTACCTAACCTTCCACTATTCACCCCATGCCACACCCCTGCTTTCTTCTTTCTCTGGTGGCTTAGCTGTGTTCTATTCGTGTTATCTCAACCAAAGAACCTCCGAGAATTTCCTAGGCGATTCAGCACTTCTTCTCACCCCACCATGGCCCAGGGGCTAGCTGTGACTGAGTCTCTCTCCCTGCCCAAACTCCATCACCCTTGCCATCGCTCAGCCTGCAGTGGTCTCTGATGCTGTTTTCATTGCTCTGGAGGTGCCCGAGGCTTTGCACAAACAAAGGTAAAGTTAGTTCTGCATATCTAGAAGAGGAGATGTTATTAACAATTAAGAGCTAGGACTTTTGACCTGAATTTAAAACCCATTTTCAAGTCGGGATTAAAACATATATTAGAAGCAGAACATGTCCTGTGTTAAAATGGGGAGAAGGTCATGTGGCAAAGAGAAGATCTCCTGTCAGAACTGCATGGCACGTGACCCGTCCATTGCAGCTTCACTCCCTCTGCCTTACCTGGATACATGATTGTGGCAGCTATGCAAGCAGAAGGTCCAAAACCTTACCTTTCCAATAATAGATTGAGGAAGCTCTGGTTTGGCAGATAAGTCTACAGTTTCTGTTGACACACTGGAGTGTGGTTGTTGTGGAGTGACTGCCAAGTTAGAACCTGCCTGCAGTCACAGAAAGCAAGAGTGCATTCTCCTCTGAGTTAACTGCTTCACATATGGAGTACTCCCTTCAGTTCTGGGTGCCACCTTTTAAAATACATCCTATATAATAAAAACCTAATATGCAATCAACCAAACAGCAGAACAACTGGTCGGTCGCTATGATGCGCACTGAGCGTCTGCCCCCAAGAGGGAGGTGGCCAGCAGTGGCAGGGGGTGGCGCCGGCCAGCAGGGGCACCAGGCCGCTAGCCAAGGTGGGTGCCAGTTGGGGGGGGGTGGCTGATCACCCCACAGATCAGTCCTGATTGCCAGCCAGACCTAGGGACCCTACCCTATATATTGGGAAGAGTCTCTTAGATTTAAAAATTAAAACCTGGCAAGGC